ATCTATCTATCTATCTATCTATCTATCTATCTATCTATCTATCTATCTATCTATCTATCTACATCATCCTGAGAAATATGAAAGTCTAGGGGCCATGTATTCAGAGTCAAATTTGAAAATTCGGTAAGAAATAAAAATCTTCAAAGGGTTCTGCCGTTAATCCATAAAGATGCAAATCCAATTATTCTGACCGAAAGACACATGCAGAGGCCGAGGGGAGGGCTTGGTGGGGAAAGAGCTCGCTGTGCAAGCATGAGTCTCATCTCCTGATGAAAAAGCTGAGCGTGTTGGCACGTGAGAGGCCAGGAGGTGGAGGCAGGCAGATCCCTGGGGCCCTGGGGCCAGCCAGCTAACCTAATCAGCTAGCTTTAGGCCGGTGAGAGGCCCTGCCGCAAAGAACAGAGGGGCAGCTCTTACTGACTCTCGATGTTAATGTCTGGCCTCCGCATGAGCACAAGGACATACGTGTGCACGGTTGGTTGTAACGTTGGTTCTAGGTGTAACGGTTGGTTGGCTGAGTAAATCAGCAAATTTATTCTGTGCCAATGTTTACCGCTAGATCTTATATATCTTGCTTTTTTTAAATTTTATTTTAAATTTCCTTTAAAGGCAATCCCCGCTGTATCCAATGCAGTAACGCACGAAGACCTGAAAGCGCTGGAAAAGGCACTGAGTCACATAGCTACCAGTCTGGGGAACGCCAAGGAGTTTTTTAAGAGGATGCGAGGTGAGTATTGTTGGCCGTACACACTCGGGGCTCACAGCCATGTGTCTGGTGTCTGAAGCAAAGAGGTGTTGAGGAAAAAAAAAAAAAAAGGAGCAAAGTACCCATTCCTGAGTGTCCGTCCATCTTACTACATCATTATGCTGTTTTTGCATAGTAGGTCTATTTATTTCCACTTTTGGAAAAGGAAACCCAAGGTCAAAGAGGGAAGGAGGTGACTTGAGGCTATGCCGCTGGTCGGAAGCAGGGAGCCCAGAATTCCAGACTGTGTCTTTTCAACGCTGAGGCTCTTTCTTGCCTGCCACTAAAATCCGCGAAGAAACCTGTTGAATGCAAAGGCAATTTTAAGTGTTAAAACCCCTAGATTTTGGTCTGACTTAACTCTGACTCTTCACAAATCTGCTCTGGGGTAGCGGAGAAAAGAACTGTTTCAAAACTGAAGTAGAAAATCTACAAAACCCAGGAAGTGCATAAGAGTAATTTGGGAAGGAACTCCACCTTCCTGGCTCAATTTAACAAGTGGGATTTTGTTTGTGGGTTTGAAGCTGCTGCTATTGAGGGAGAAAAACTCTTCTAATCAAGTGTTGGTAAGCTTTATGAAGACCCATGAGTGGATCCCGTGGGGCTACTGTGTGTGTGTGGGCGCCTGTGTACATGTGTGTGTGTGTGTACGTGTGTGCGTGGTGCCAGGGATGGAGCCCAGGGCTCACAGATGCTGACAAAGCACTCTACCATGGAGCTACATGCCCAGTCCCGGTTTGTTTTTGAAAGCTTTGCAATGCTGACAGTCTGATTGGGATGATGTGTCCCCTAGGTAACTTGACTTGCTTCCTTAGCAGACCCAGTACGGGGTACAGGAGAGGTGGTGAGTAGGCTTCTCCAGGAGAGGACGGAGGAGAGTGGTGTTTGCCCGCAGAGACTCTGGATCTGCCTGGTGCCTTTCCTGTCATCTTGTACTGGAATCCAGATAGCTGTTTGCAGTGTCTTGAACTCACTGTGTACCTCTGATGTTGCTTAGTAAATATTCTCATCTTTTCACAGACTATGTGGACCCAGACCAGTTTTTCCATGTCCTTCGCATATATTTGTCTGGGTATGTAGTCTGAGGCTTGGGTTTATTTTCTCGACTCATATAAAGAACAGAGCAGAGGCCAGTTGCTGGCCTCCAGTATTCTTTGGGTTGAAATAATGATAATTTGTATTGCTCACGTCCACGTTGTCAAGAAAGCACGGGCTTTGTTTCCCGGTGACTATTGGCCTGGGAGGCCCTGGAACAGACCTGAGAAAATGGCTCAGAGCAAAGAGAGAAAATGCTCTGAGCTGGGGTGAAACAAGTCTTCACTCAGAAAGTATGTCAGACTTTCTCAGAACTGTGCTATTTATTGTTTTCACCCATGAAAATGGGTGACAGGGGATGTGTGGAAGAGTGGCTTTTAGTGGGAGGTTTTCTATCTGACAACTAATCCAAATGACTTTTTCTTTCTTTTTTCGGTCTAGCTGGAAAGGCAATCCCAAGCTGTCAGAGGGTCTGCTGTATGAGGGTGTCTGGGACACCCCCAGAAAGTTTTCAGGGGGCAGCGCAGGCCAGAGCAGCATCTTTCAGTGTCTTGATGTCCTTCTGGGAATAAAACACAAAACTGGTGAAGGTGGGTGGAAGCGACAGCATGTGTTTTCTTGTCCTCTGTCCGGACTATATCTCAGGACTCTAAGGATCCTCCCCAACAGTAGAAGCATTGCAAATTTAAAGCCATTGTGTGATACACAGTGAGATCCTGTCCAGTAAAGCCAAAGAAAGAAAGAGAGAGGGAGTCACAGAGAGGGAGAAGAGAGAAGAGGATGAAAAGAAGAAGGATGACGAAGCAAACTCAAGCAACATATCTTATTAGGAAAGTGTTGCTTATTCGGTCTATAGGCCTAACAGGAGTCTTCAGGAATAGCCATTGTTAGGAGCAAGCTATTTAGGGTGGTCTTCCCTTTAAATCCTCCCACAGTGGCTGTAGGTAATGATCACCCAGCCTGCCTGACCTTGCCCTCTTTCTCCCCTAGGCGGGGAAGGGCTTCTCTCCCCCAAACCCTGCCCCAACCCCTTACCTGTCTTTGTTTGTCTGTAGGATCTCCTGCAGAATTCCTCCAGGAAATGAGAGAGTACATGCCTCCGGACCACCGTGAATTCCTCTGCTCCCTGGAGTCGGGCCCCTCAGTCCGTGAATTTGTCATTTCAACAGGAGATAAAGACTTGAAGAACGTATATAATGAGTGTGTGAATGGCCTGGTCTCTGTGAGAAAATTCCATCTCGGAATAGTAGATACGTATATCATGAGACCTTCCAAGCAGCAGCCCAAAGAAGGCTGTAAGTCAGAGGAACCCTCAAACACGGAAAACAGAGGGACTGGGGGTACTGATGTCATGAATTTCCTGAAGAGTGTGAAAGATACAACTGAGAAAGCCCTTCTGAGTTGAGCTTAGTGCAGCAAGGGTGCAGGTGCACAGAAATCTGCCTATGTCCTGTCATAGCTCATTGAATCAGACCCACTGGGTAGGAACATGAAGTGATTTACCAGTAATACACTGTATAGATTTTAAAATAATCTGTGCATTCCCTGTAGGAAAATAACAAAAGCGAACTATTTAATATTACTTTTAAATGATAAGAAATGCTCTAAATTAGATTAATGATTAAAATATAATAATGAAACTCAATAAATAGAAATTGCATCAGCCTTGTGTCCTTTGTAGCTGTTACTGAAGATTCCTCTGAATGATATCTACTTTCCATGGCCAAGTCCTATACTTCCAAAGTGTGAAAAACTCTGTACTTTTTCATTGTTACCTTCTGGTTAGTCTGTATTCTTGTCACAGAGTAAGCTATGGCTGTCAGACTGTTGTTAACCAGTGTGTGGGTTCATTAGTCAGGGCTGAGAAGAAGGAAGAGCTCACGTTTTGTTGTGGTTTGAATGAAGAATGTCCCCCATAGGTTCACATATCTGAACACTGGCTCCCTGGGTGCCATTTGGAGTGGTTATGGCTTTTAGGAGGCACAGCCTTGCTGTCTGACATGGGATTTGAAGGTTTATAGACTTATCTCACTTTCAGCTGACACTCTCTGCTGCCATGTGGCTAAATATGTGACCATCCAGCTTCCTGCTTTGGCTTCCTGCTTTAATGCCTTCCAAATTATTACTGATACCCTCTCTGGAACCACAAGCCAAAATGAACTTTTTTTTTCTTCCTGTACATTGCTTTCGGTCATTTCATCTGCATTTCATCACAGATCCCGAAAAGTACCTAATAAATCTTTGTGATACAATCTCTCCTGGTTTATTAGCATTCACACTCCGACATGAGTAAACTTACTAATGGGATCCCTGAATGATGAGTTAAGAGGAATTGAAGTGGGGCACAGTGGCTTGTACCCGTAATCCCAGCATTCGGGGGCTGACACAAGAGGGCCATGGAAGTTCCAGGGAAGACTGCATTACACACTGTTGCAGGATGTTTGATCACACTGTGAACCCCGAGATTGTGTCGTTTGCTGGGAAAACCTGTTTCTGGTTGTGGTGTGGCTCAGCCCTAGCACACACCTTTAATCCAAGAGCTTTCTGCTTGAGTTTTGTAAACCAGATTAAATAAAGTCAACTCTAGGTCAAGAGATGGAGCAAGCAACCAATTGACAGGGAATGAACATGGGGAAAAAACCATAGAAAGTAAGAGGCCGTCAAGAGGATGGATAGAGAGACCCAGAGGAAGTAGACGGAAGGAGTATTCAGTTTGGGATTTGCACCTTGGGGAAGGAGCATTGCTGCTTTCAGGGGAGGAAGGTGAGCTGGGTGTTTCTCTGCCTCTCTGAGCTATCAGGCTTTCACTCCAGCATCTGGCTCTGGAGTTTTCACTGGTAAAATAGAACTTTGAGATTTTGTTAAAAACAAACAACGTACTAAGTTCCAGTCCAGCCTGTGTTGAAAAACACATAAATAGATAAGTAAATAAATACAAATTAAAAGTCATCTAAGCCAGATGTAGTAGCATACGCCAGAAATTCCCGCTTATAGGAGAACCTGGAAGTTCAAGGTCAGGCGTACTGATGAGTTCGAGGCTAGCCTAGGCTACAGAACGAGACCTTGTTTCAAAGCTAAAACTAAAACATAAAACTCATAAATTCCAAGCCAAACTTTTCTTTTAGGGATGACAAATTCAATACTCAAAAGGATGAAGCAACCTACTCAGAGCCACACAAATACTTACAAATGGGAGGTCATTTAGTTTCTTAGCGACACTCATTTTTCTTTTCCTCTTCTTTACTTGGAATATGTTAGAAAGAGAACAATTTGGGAAAGTGGGAAATGAAGACATTTGATGACCTGAAATCACAGGAGAGGCAAGTGGGAAACCAGAAATCAAGTATGTAACAAAAGATGGGAATCTTCAATGGTCCCACTAGTGTGGACCTAGCAAGCTCTTTGAATGTACGAGGACTTCATCTCTGAAGAAATAAAACATGGCACATGACTTTAAAGGAGTGCGGACAGGTAGGTGCCAGGAAGGTGATGTAATTATGAATCAAAAACATTAGATTTTAGCGTGCTACAGAAATTTCAAAACTAAGGTCTAGCATTTGAGACATAGGTTCCACCTTAAATACTTATTGGCTTTGAGATCTTAAATGTGTCACTTTATATTTCTACCATAAGAACATAATAATACTTTGGGAAACACATGATAAAAACAAAAGTGAGACCTTCAGGGCATGCGGAAGGCAAAAAGTAAGAATCTAGGGTCTCAATACACAATACCTTCAAAGGCTGATCTCTGCTGATCCAGTTCCTTCCCAAGGCCCCTCAAGGTCCCTTCATTTTACAGTGACACCATAGGCCATGCTTGCATCAATGGGCCTTTTGAAGACACGTAATATAGTACTGTTGAACATGGCAGAGCACACACAGAATCCCAGCACCTCAAAGGTAAAGGCAGAAGGACTAGGAGTTAAAGACCAGCCTTTGTTACATACAGACTTCAAAGCCATCTTGGGCTAAAATGAGATTTTTTTTTTTCAAAACAAAAAAAAATTGTAAAAAGGAAGAAAAGAGGAAAATCTATATCATAAAACCAGTTAAAATGTAATTTTTCTGGTCCCATAACTTGAACTCTTAATAAGAAAAAGACATGGAAGAGGCAGATAGATCCAGTACACATGAGTGATCCAAGCTCTCGAGGGGCTGAGGCAGGAAGTTCTCAGGTTCAAGATTAGCTTGGGCTGCACAGTGAATCTCAAGTTTAAAAATACAACAATAAGAGAGAGTGCACACATACACATGTGAGAAAGAGAGAGGAGGGAAAGACCCAGAAACAGAGAGAGGATTTCACGTTCTGAGGAATGTCTCTGAAGGAAAAACAACTCATCAATAAACACACAGTATGGCTTGCTTCGCATCTGCACCCTTCTAGTTACTTGTTTGTCTTTGAAACCAGGTCTTACTAGGTAGCTCTGGTTGTTCTGGAACTAGCTCTGTAGATCAAATTCACAGAGATCTGCCTGCCTCTGCCTCCTGGGTGCTGGGATTAAAGGCGTGCACCACGACCACCCAGCTAACTTAATATTTTGATTACACAGTGTTCCCACTCTCGACGAGCCACTAAGATAACCCCGGTACTGGTTGGCTACTTTTCCAGTCACTAGACTCATGGCGTGTGGGGCAGCAGCACAGACTAGAAGGCTTTGTTTGGAAAGTTAGGACAAGGTTACTGGTGTAGAGAATATTGGTTGAATGAATGGTTGCAGCCAGCCTGCAAGTTTTCTAGAGTGAAATAAACAAGCAAATACAACTTCTTTCACTGAACTGGCCGCAGACTGGCTAAGGAGTCAGCACAGAAATATGGCTTCCGTAGAGATCGCCATGTTTTTGACACAGCATCTTCGGCTAAAGCGAGTCTTCTACGGAATACGCTCATGGTGACAGTTCATACTCAGCTGTCCGGTGCTGGTCACTGTGCCTTGCGTGCATCAGTACTCCCCCCTCTCACAGTGATGTATAAAAACAAGTGTTTCAAGTTGCTTCTTTCCTTTAAGAAAGACAATACTTGAAAGAGTCCAGTATTTTCCAAAAGCTGCATCTACTAGGCTAAGTCCACAGGATGCAGAGATCAGAGCCTGGGAACATGGTCATGAGCATCGCACAGAAATGAAGGAGTTTAGAGTTGGAAACCTGCAAAGGAAAGAATCATCGCAGGCATCTATACAGCTTTAAATAATCCTGCCAAAAGGATTCCTCAGAAAGTGCAAAGTGTACATGGGCTTGTATTTAATTAATATTTGGTTTTTGGGCTGTAACTCTATAGATGTTACTAGTTACTAGGCCATCATCTGATGTTGAAAGTCAACAACACATTAAGCAAGGATGCTAACCTTCTTTTCTGAATAAAGCAAAACCTGACATGGAAAGCCACCATTGAGTTATCAGAAGCACACGTTATGAGATACCATGTCTTCATTTACTCTTTTTGTTTATTTGTTTGGTTTTCGAGACAGGGTTTATTTTTGTAGTCCTGACTGTCCTAGATTCATTTTGTAGACCAGGCTGGCCTCAAACTCACAGAGCTCTGCCGGCTTCTGCCTCCCAAGTGATGAGACTAAAGGCAGGATCCACCACATCTGGTTTCTTCACTTACTCCTTAGAGATCAAAATAAACTAAACCTTAAACCCAAGTGTAGCAGTGAGTTTACATCATTGAAAAGAGAGGCCTATGGAGCTTCTCAAAAGATACTTCACCTATGGAGTGACAGAACGTGACCCTGTGTGTTAACCAAACGATGGACAAAATGTTCTCTGGCTGACAGAGTGCCCACTGACCTACAGCACCAGTGGGCACAGGTGTGACTGAGAAAATCCCACCATGTTCCTGTCTCTGTCCACTTGAAAGATTTAGCCCTGAACTAGCTGTTTTACAAAGCATTGGAAATATAATTGAAGATCACTTTGGTGTTCATCTTAAGCTTTGGTTTTATGATAGAGCCAAAAAGAGAAAATTTTAATTCAAGTTATTGAAAAAAGAAAGAAAGAAAGGAAGAAAGGAAGGAAGGAAGGAAGGAAGGAAGAAAGGAAGGAAGGAGGGAGGGAGGAAGGAAGGAAGGAAAGAAGGAAGGAAAGAAAATTTTCACTTTAAAAGGAGAAAGTCAAATTAGCAGCTTGGCTGAGGAGATAAAAATGTGCGTGGTTCATGCAATTGTTGAGGGCCAGACCCCATGGTTTCAGTGGTGCAAACAGAAGTAAGTGCATCTGTCTTTCTGGTTGTTGTATGAAAGATTGCTCCATCTCTACCATCGTGGAGCAAGAGAGACAAGCAGAATGAGCGTGAGTGGCGGCTTCTCAGTGGGACCCCATTTTTGATCTTTTGTCATATCTCGGGGGCCTGGATTCACTGCAGCCTTGGGAATACTCCCCTCCAGCAATCCAGAAGAATGGCATTCAAAATCAGCCCAACTGCTGATAACCGTTGTGTTTAAAAAATGGTGTTTTGCCTCCACCATGAACAAGTGGATCTCAGTTGCTCCTAAAGGGAACGGCTCTTTCTCTCAATTATAAATCCCACAGAAGGGTAAATTAATGAGACATAGAGAAAATTAGGTCTTCCTGGTTCACACAAAACAATGATCGCAGTATTTTTCTTTGATCCCTTTGGCATTTTAAAATTCATACCTAGTATTCATAAATTTAGTATCTGAACTCAATAGTTAACTTTCTGTAGTCTTAAAGCTCATCTAACAGCTTTCCCATCTCAGCAATGTGTCCAGAAGATAATTTCAACATGTACATTTTAATTAGGGAAGCAAAGCACAAGGAAATCTATTCAGAAGGAAAATGTGATATTCAGAAGGAGGAAAAAAGTTTGCAAGAAATTTTTGCTCTTAAAACCTCACTACAAAAGCATTGCATACAGTCATCTGTGTTAAAAAATTTTGTAAGTGAAAACATAAATTATGGGTTACATTTTATGCTGTTACTATGTTTCAGTCATGTTGGATAGTCTTCTAATCATTGTAACCAAATATCTTAAGAGAAGCAAGGAAACCTGGGGAGGAGGAGCTCACTTTGGCCCCTGGTGAATAAGGCTGGGTGGCAGGAGTGTGGAGCACCTGGTTAGGTCACTGAGCAGTCAGAGAGGAGAGCCATCAAGACAGAACCAGGGCCAGACTATGATCCTCCTTGCCCACTCTCCTAGTGCCCCACGATCTCCAGGCATGTCCCGTCTTTCAAAGATTTCATAAGACTAACACTTGGGACCAATGTTCAAGCACA